AAGGTCCATAATCCTCATCATCTTCTCTTTTTTATAAATACATTTTTTCCTCTCAAATTCACTACATGGTAGTTTTTCGTTTTTTGTTCTAGAGTTAATATGAGTAGTCCTCTTTTCGTAGTATTGTAGACAAATATGTGGTCCAACTTTTACATATGCGTTTGGCATTTGGAGGATAAATTTAATTTGGAGTAGGCGATGGATTGGGATGACTGTTGATTGGAGATCATGATTTTTGTTACATATCTATCAACTGCAGAATGGTCAATCATGAGACTCAAATCCATCAAAATATGTTTGGGTTAAAGCTTTAGACTATGATCTCATGGATTTATCCTTTAAAATATGGTTGGTTTAGTACGAAAATCTAATTAAGAAATCCTCTGTAGTTAAGCATCAGTTAAAAAGTTATAGTTATTTGAATAGTTAAGCAATTATATATAATTTTCTTTAATAAGGTGCAGAGGGAGACGAGTCTCAGGGATTAATGATGAGGATGATGTTGCTGTTGGTAGGTAGTAAAGTAGTTAGTATATGTTTTTAAGTTATTTTACATCATTGTATATAAATATCTTTTGTTTAGCTATTTGTTACTTTGGTGTGTAATTTAATGCAAGAGATAGATGATATTATGTTTGATTCTTTTTAACTTATTTTACATCACTGCATATAAATATCTTCCACTTAACTCTGTTATTTCGATATAAAATAAAATGCAGAAAGATGACTACTGCTAAAAAATTAAAATATGTAGCAATCGTATAGAAGTATATAGATGTACGCAAAGGAAGATAAATAAGAGTATGAAGAAGAAGAACAAAATGATAAAAAAAAATACGAGGATAAAGACGTTGAAGATGAGGAAGGAGAGCAAAAGATTAAGAAGATAATGTATGAGAAAATGAAGATGAGAAGGCTGCTATGAAAAAGTAGAAGATTAAAGACGAAGACAAATACGATTAATTACAAAAACTATGGATAACACGAAAAACGAAAGGTAATAAAGATAAGAAGATAAGAGGAGTTGAAAGAAGTATAAGAAGACAATGTAGATATTTGGTAGAACAGATTAATTAAAATCTGAAAAATATTAGGATAAAGACTTTAAAAATGAAGAAAGAAACTGAAAAATAAAACTATAAAATAAGAGAATGTAAAGATGAGGAAGGAGACTAAGAAAAACCAAAAGAATAAGAACACCAATAAGACAAATACAATGAATTAGAAGAAGGTGAAGATGTAGTATAAGAATTTAAATAAGAGAAAAAAAAACGAAAAATAGTAGAAATAGGAAAAAAAATAAGAGAAGAAGTTTAGGAATACGAAGATAGTAAAAGGAAGTCAAAGATGATGAAAAAAGGCATCTTATGAGGAAGAAGAAAATTGAAGGATAAAGAAACGGAAGCAAATGAAGAAGAATTAGAAGAGGATGATGGCATAGATGAAATAAGTAGGAATGATAGAAAAAATGTAAATTAGTAAAAGAAGATGACGAAAAATAGAAAGAACAAGAAGAATTCAAAGAAGAAAAATAAATTAAAGAAGACGAAGTTGAAGTCTAACACAATGAAGGAAAATATGAAAAAAAATGAAAGAAAAAGAAGGTCAGGAAAGAGAAGATAAATTTGATAAAGAAAAACTCGGAAAATATAACTACAAATTCTTTGAAGATGAGGAAAGAAATTAAAAGATAGAGCTGACAAAATATGAAAATGTGAAAAAGAGGAATAATACTAAGAAAACCTAGGTAAAAAAGATAAATATGACAAATTAGGAAGACGATGAATGTTATAAAATAACGAAGAAGGATGAAGATAGGAAAGTCCAGGAAGTGAAGAGAAGA